GGTTTTGACGGGGCGGTTTTGTCACCGCGCTTTAGTCACACGCGCTTTAGTCTACCGCGGTTTTGTGGTGGAACCGTGAACTTGAATACAAGTAGTCCTCAATTTACTATATATATTATATAGTCATATATTATATAACACTTTTAATTAAGCGGGTACCTTGAATAAACATAACTTTTGAGTTTCAAATAACACTGATTTCGTTGTTGTTTTGGGTGACGACATCTGTGAAAAAAAATCCAGGTGCTCAGGCATGAAAATGTGCCGCTCAAACACTATACTTTCCCGCGCACACTGAAAAAAAAATTAGAGGGAACATTGGTCCTAACCCCACCCCCGTCTGGCGTCGTCTCTTTCAGGGAAGCCGCTGCTGTGGAGCCCCTTCATGCAGAGGCCGCTACACAAGCGGAAAGGAGGCCAAGTGCGCTTCTCCAACGACCAAACCATCGAGCTGGAGAAGAAGTTCGAGACCCAGAAATACCTCTCCCCGCCCGAAAGGAAGCGCCTGGCCAAAGTGCTGCAGCTCAGCGAGAGGCAGGTGAGGAGCCCCACCCCAAAAAGAATTTAACAACCGGTTCTCTGCCCTAATGATTTCTTCCAGCAACCAGTTCGCCAAACTGCTCAGAAAGTTAACAGCCGGTTCTCCCCAAAGTGGTGCGAACTGGGACTCCATCCCTTACAGAGCTGTACAATACAGGTAGTCCCTCGACTTAACGACCGCGACGCAGCCCAGAATTTGTGCGGCTAAGTGAGAAATGGTGCTGTGAGAGTTTTGCTGCCCCGTTTTACAACTTTCCTGGCCACGTTTGTTAAGCGAATCGCTGCTGGTGTTCAATCAGTAACACGGTTGTTAAAGTGAGTCCGGCTTCCCCCTTGGCTTTGAGGGTTAGATGGTAAAAGTGACCGACTGACCATGACTGTCACAATTAATTTAATTTAATTTAATTTATTAGATTTATAGGCCTCCCAATCCCAATTACACAGAACAAAGAAAACAAACAAAATAAAAATAAAAAATTTAAAATTCTCCAACACACATACGTTCTGATTGGGGCTGGACCCTACATAATAAGGTCAACAGCCCCAGGCCTGCCGGAACAGCCAGGTCTTAACAGCTTTTCTGAAGGCCATGAAGGTGGGTGAGGTCCGGACCTCTGGGAGTAGCTGTTCCACAGGGTCGGAGCAGCCATAGAGAAGGCTCTCCTCTTTGTTATATAGGACCTTAAATGCATGCATGCATGCATGCATGCATGCATGCATGCATACATACATACATACATACATACATACATACATACATACATA